TCGGCACGCCGCCTGTCGTCACGTGTTGCTGCGTCATCGAAGGAAATATGCGCCAGCAGAGCCAGGTACCGCTGTTTCCCCATGGCGGCACGGAACAGGGGAGGCCCGTGCTTGGCCGAGAACAGATCATCGACTCCGATGTCAAACGTGCCGCGGAGCACGGTCATTCCGATGAAGGCTCGGAGCTCGGTCTCATCCAGAGGCGCCAGAATGTACTTCTTTTTTCGCTGTTCATCGGAACTGCCCTTTTCCGCGAAAATTTGCCTGGCGTCATCCAGTTTCCGGTTGGTGTGTGTCAGGATGATATTCATGATGTCCTGGCTGATGTATAGGCCAAATGCCTCGCCTTCTGTTTTGACATTTTTGGCTGCCGGTCCTTTCAGGCCTGGTGTTTCTCGGGTGATGTTCGCCCGGTCGCGCCTGCGCTGGACGTTTTCAGGCTCGACCGTCCACTCGGCAGCGACCTGCCCTCCTCGCCGAACGATGTATGTTGCAGGTGCCTCCGGCAGGGTTTGAAGATCGGCTTCGGCGAGTGTTTTTTCTGAGACCGTCAGTCGTCTCGTGAGACTCTTCCAGACTCTTCCTCTGGCAGGTGGATCAGTCTCTGGCTCACTATCGGACTGGTCCTCGTTCGGCACGCCGCCGTCCTGCGGCGTCTCACTGGGCACCACCTGGAGTTCGACGAGGCAGTCGTCCTCCGACACATCTGACTCGTACTCACTTTCCTCACTGTCAGATTGCGTCGCCAACAGTCTCGCAATGTCCGCGTCGTTCAACTGTCTTTCACGGTACGCCATGTCGCCGTCACAGCGCTGACGGCAACACGCACACGCACACACTGTCGTCGACAGACTGACGAGTCACTAATTTGTTCTGTCTTGGCGTCTTGACACTTATTTGTTTTGAACCGCTCTTTATTGACCTTTTACACCCTTCCACAAATGACACCCTTTGATGCAGACCGCCCGCCGAACCGAGCGCCAGTGATCGAGGGGGAGATAAGAGCCCGGGAGGGGAGATAACAGTATCGGCCCGCCCACCCCCGCACAGGTGGTGGGAAGTTGGCGGCGTGCGTACGCAGTATTTGTTTTGAACCGCTCTTTATTGACCTTTTACACCCTTCCACAAATGACACCCTTTGATGCAGACCGCCCGCCGAACCGAGCGCCAGTGATCGAGGGGGAGATAAGAGCCCGGGAGGGGAGATAACAGTATCGGCCCGCCCACCCCCGCACAGGTGGTGGGAAGTTGGCGGCGTGCGTACGCAGTCAAACGGAACGCCGCTCTCCCGGTTTCCGGAAACATATGCGCCGATACCTACTTCAGCCGGGGAACACTTATACATGTTGCTTTGCAAATTGCTATACCTACTTGAAAATTACGGCCCACACATGCACTTTACTTTTATTTGGCTGTTTTCACTCTCAAATTACTCACAGCTCAACGTCGAAATGAATTGCCATTTTCTTGATCTCTTTCTCGAAACAATATAACAGGAAATAGGCATAATATGCCTTGCTTGCATGAAATAGCATAGTTGACCGGAGATCAACATCACATAATCATATTTGTAGGAGATACCATTCTCAAATATTCATAACCGCTAACGAGTTTGCTACCATCGTATTCGCCTCGTGAAATCGAGTGAAATGATATATCGCATGACATGTTTGCATGAAATGACATATTTGACCTGAGGTCAAGGTCATGACCCATATGTTTCATATTGCTTACCAATCGATGCAAACTGACAAGAAGAACACAAAGATGAAAAATTCATCACTATAAGCCGATCGTGTCAGAAGTTTGAATAATCAAGTGTGAAAACCGTAAAAAAAATCCATGGAGATGACCTAGCGTGACCTCAGCGAGGTCACAAGCAAATGGTTTCACATGGGCTGTGATTTGCTGACCCAAGACACTTCAATAACGAAATATAGGAACAATCACGCCCGATTTAGCTGAAAAACAACTACTTTTCGATTCTCCCATTGACTTATAATGGGGAGCAGCGATGACCTGACCTGACCTTAGGTCACATTTATAAAAAATCCGAGATAGCCATTTTGTAGAGCTGGGTGACATCTTCAAGTACTGTAAATTTTACATCGATCGGATAAAAGCTGTGCTTTTGAGAGAGCTTTGAACTTTTTTAGAGGTGGTGTCAGTTTTGGTGACCTTGTGACCTGACCTGACCTGACCCGAACCCCCAAAAAAAGGACATGATGTAAAAATGTTGAATAAACAGCTATACAAAGTTTCAGGGCGCTAACTCAAGTGGTTTCTGAGTTATCGCTGAAAAACCACAGGGGGGGGGCCAAAATGGCCCCCCCCACCAGGGCGAAGGTTAATCGATGATAGGTAGCTAATGTTTGATACGATGACAAAGAAGGCATATAAGCAATTAGAGCAATCCTAGCTAATACCTAGCTACGAAGAAACACACTGACCCTAATTTGACCAAATCTGCACCAAATCTGCACCAGATGTGACCAAATGTGTACCAGATGGCCGTCGTGAAAACGGCTATTAATGAATCAGGAAGGACCATCTGGCTCACGAGCGACAGAAACAAGCGGTGACCTGAGTGGATCCAGAAAGGTAGTCCGGATGCTGTGGGAGCCCCAAAATGCTTTCTTCAAATTCCAAAATCTTCTCGCATTTCAATTCCTGGTAACTTTTAAGCAAACCTTTCCTGATAGAAATGGCTTAGTTTTCGTCTGATTCTAGAAAAACGATAAAGTTTCACCAACTTTGGGTGATACGTTGATCGCTCTCCCTTGGATCCGCTAGTGACGGTCGCTGTCGCCCCGCTGCGGTGCGGCACTGCGGTGCTGTCAGCCATTTTGTAGGTGGCGGCACTGATCGGTGCGGGCTGCGAAGGGGGGGCAGCCGGACCGCCGCCGCCGGAGCCGCCGCCGGAGCCGCCGCCGCTGCGGGCAGAACATCCTGGAAACTTCCCCGCTACTTATCTGCGCCGGAGATTTTTTGGCGAGACCGATGACCGCAGCTGTTAGTGGTCGTTTTGCATTCAGCCGGGAACGCCCGAGATGACGTTAGATCACTATCTGGGCTGCGCTGAATCCTCAGACCACAGCGCGGCAAGTTCTGAGCACAAATTGCGAGCATTGTTCGCAATCCGTGGGCGGATGCAATTTCTGAGAGATGACTTGTTGCTCAACCGTACGTCGGCGTTTGGGCCGGGGAATACGTGTCGGCAGCCGGCCGGCCTGGGGAGATGGACTGCTCACTGTTCAGTATTTACTGGAGTCCACAGTCCACTGGACTGCGAGCGACCGCGTTGCGACAGGGAATGACGCTAGACAGGTGCATATAAATCTGGAAATACGTTTGGACGAACTAGAAGTAGTCGTGCAATGGTCTTTGTCGACGCCAATTTTGTTGTAAGCCATATTGCAATATTATGCAGCATATGCTACATCTTATAAGTATCTAACTATTATCATGCCGAAACCAAAACTTTTATGTGCTGCTGCCGCCGGTGAATACCTAACGCTCTAAAGATATAGCGGTTTTAACAACACATACATTCTGGAATAGCATCAAGCCGAAAAAGGTAAAACCCACAACGAAGCCGCAGTAGCGGCGGAACACCTTCAATTAGGGGGGCGGGGGGCACTGCCGACGTTTGGTCCCATTCTTTCCATGCAACGCCCATAGGGCTAATGTTAAAAAGGCAAAAACAAGGGGGGCACAGTTCCCCGGTGCCCCCCCCCCCCCGTTCCGCCCCCTATGCGAAGCAGCACCAGATGAAGGCAAAACCTCGCTAAGTACTTCTTGACGAGGTTTTGCCTCACCAACCGGGCAGCTACATCCGCGTACCTTCTGAACCCTGTTGCATGACAGCTCCGTGGAACCAGGTTTGGACACATCATCAATGCTTATTCGTCCAATTCCCTGCAGTCTGCACCGTGAGTTCGGGTTCCCGCGAACCGGTCATTTCCACCACCCAGCTCGCGACCGGTGACACTGGTAGGGCTTGTCGCACAGGTTCTGTATCGAGTTCCACGCCGTCACCAATGCTTAAGCAGGTGGTAGAATTCACAAACAGGCTGATACGGGCACACCGACATGTCATTCATTGATAGAACGGGAGTGGCTGGTCAGGCCGACACTAAAAGACATGCATAAAGGGATGACTTGCTTAGTTAGGTCTTATCTGCACTCATCCAGCGGATTATGCCCAAGTAAACAGGTTCATGACTACAATGCGTTCGAGATTTAATATATTTAATTATCTTTACTGATTGTTTGATATAACCATGGGCACGGGAACCGTGGGCGTAGTAGAGGCAGCTCGCCCCCACAAGTTTGGTGTCGTGGGGTCGCTGCCCCCACAACTTTCGGGTAGATTTTTCTCCAGAAAGCAAACACTGAAGTGACGGGGTCTACGAAGTGAAAAACTCCTATTTAGCTTGAGTGTCATTTTTCGTTTCCTTTCTTTTGGCAACTTTAGCAGAGCTACAGACTGGCAACCCTGGCAACAGAGTCAACCCTGGCCTGGCTGGGGAATTGACTTCATAACTACCTTTTACATGTGCAGATAATCGCCAACGAATTGGAATGAGCATTTATTGGTTATACAAAAGACTTTGGTCCCCCAAAACGTACAGATTTAGACAGTACATGGGATACCCCTCCTCCTCCAACTTCCAACTCCACAACATTTTGGTGTCAGTTACTTGCAGTATTGAGTTGACCCAAAAACCTGTGGCTATACCTACATTGAGTTTGCCCTCACAACATGAAAATAGTGTCCCTGGATATAGCCTGATGAATTTGTCGTTTGCCCATTAAAGTTTATCGAAGTGTGCTCGTTCACCGATCGTGTGCTTACTTACAGCGATAAATGAGATCATCACATATCCGGCTTTACGTGTGCAAATCCTTCAAAACCTACTTCGTGAGTTTCGCTGTTTGCGTTTATTGACCCATGAGAGTTAGCAGCCTGTTCTGAATGTTCTCAGTCTGTCACCCACCTGTAGCTGTAGTCGTACGTCTCGTCGGTCTGCACGTGATGGCCTTCCTCCGGCGGCACCGGCTGCATGGTCAGCATGGCTGACGCAGCGGCCGTCAGCGGGCCGTCCGTGTACTCGGTCTGCCATTCTGCTGGTACCGGCTCGCCGTCATGCACCACCTCGACTGTCTCGTGGACCACCTCTCCTCCAGCTCCCGCTGCTGCTGCTGCGGCAGCTGCGGCGGCAGCTGCGGCGGCAGCGGCTTCGGCTGCTCCCGGGGAGTCGACTGGTGGGGTTGGATCCGGCGGAGGGGTGCCACCGCGGGACTCGCTGTTGAAGAGAAACAGAGGTCTATGGTTAGATGAGACGGTTTACAGAGGAGTTGTAACAAAAGTAACACACTTCGACAGATGTTATTTACAAGCATCAATTAACCCTCGCCCTGGCAGGGGGGGTCGATGCGACCCCCCCCCTAAGGTTTTTCGAGGATAGCGTAAAAACGGCGGCGCGCAGCGCCGCCAAATTTGGCACAGCCTATGGGGCAACCTTTTTACATATGACCTGAAAATTTCAGGTCCGGGTGACCTTGGGTCAGGTCACCAGGTCAGAAAAACCGGTACAAGGTCATGGTCAAATTTCAATTTTCTTTTTGCACCTGTCCAACTCACAGTTTTGCACTGATTTCCTTCAAACTTTCAGGATGTGCTAAGTTCACCGAGTTGTATAACATACGAGGGGGTATCGAAAAGTTCTGATCATCACATAGAAGATATAGACCGATTTTGATGATTTTTGGTAGGCATTATATTTGGTTCTCAAGAACAATGTTCCCGCAAAGAAAATCCTGAGGAGTGGTTTTATCTTATGTAGGAGAGACTTAGAAGTAAAAAAGATGAGCATTGGGCCCACTGAGGACCAAACCGTCATCCAACTAATGCATTTGAAACGTTATCACACTGATAAAATACATCAAGAACGTGAACTTAGTTTATTGCGAAGAAAGCCCATCTCATGCACTTACCGAAAATGAAGAAATAATTTTCAACTTGGTTGCATGGCCTTTGCAAGGGAGTCAAGAAGTGAGTGACTACCAGTGATTGACAAGGTGGTGACTGTGAAGGAAGTGGAGGACCTCATCCTTACAGATCGTCGTGTGGCCTTTCAGATGATTGTGCAACAGAAAGGTCTCAATGCTGGCAGTGTCTGAAAATATTATCAGCGAAGAACTACAGACGATAAAGGAGTCAGCCCGCTTAGAAGTTCGTGTGTCTACTTTGTTCGAGAGAAAAGTTCGTCTTGGCCTTTTGAAACGAAAACTAGGCCTTTTTTAGGAAATTGAAGACATCTTTGATCATTTGATGACTTGTGACGAATGCTGGGTCTATGCGTATGATTCAGAGACAAAAAGATGATCTAGAAGTTTAAGCACGGCACATCTGCCCTTCTTAAAAGGCGAAGATGCAGAAGCCGATATGGAAAGTCAATGCTCTCAGTGTTCTGGATCTGGCGTAGGAAAGTCATTACCGACTGTCTTGATAATGGTCGGATAATGATAAGCATGCGCTACTGCACACTTTTGAAGAAATTGCGAGATGGCCTCAAGCAGAATCGCCGCAAAAAAAGCCCAGGAAAGATGTTTATCCTCACGTACAGTGCCCCCACCCATTCGTCCTGAGCTGCGATTGAAGAAACAACATGATGTGGACATTAAATCCTACCGTATCTAACAAATTCACCTGACCGGGTATTAACTGACTCTTGATTGTTACGGGAGATGAAAAATCCACAGTATGGCCGGTGATTGAAGGACAGAAATGACGTCATTGATGAGGTGAAGCAGTGATTTACGGGACAGTGCGAAGGTTCTACAATGACCGCCTGAGGCAGTTCAAGAAACGATGCAATAAGTTTGCGGTCGTGTGTGGTGACTTGTGAAGAAGTAATGAACATCATGTAAAAAAATCAAATTTCTATCACATCTAATTCATGGTGATGATCAGAACTTTTCGATACCCCCTCGTATAGTTCGGGTTTTTTGAGGTCACTGACCTGAGGTCAGTTAGAGGTCATGACGTCGTAATGTTAAGCCTATGGGAAAATACCAAATTCGGAAAATACTGGAGATATCCGCTTTGTTCTATCACTTTTGTGCTTTGAAACCACAGTACTTAACATCAGGTCACTTGGTGCTTCTTTGTTTGGTGTACTTATCCATGGGTCAGGTCAAATGAGGTCAATTGAGGTCAAATGACGTTTTTGCTAATAACTTGGCACATAATGACGCTAGAGCTTAGAAAATGGTATCATTGTGTTCCTGGTGATCAGCCGAATCGAATGATATGCGATATGATGCCATTTGGTTAACTTTAACTTAATCTATTAATTTAAGTTTAGGTACTTAAAATTTAAGAAAAACTTTAAGTACACTTAAGCAACCTAAAAAGTATATCATTCGACGCGCCTTGACGTGCTGAGTTCACTGGTGCTTTTCTTTTTGCTCTATCTTAATTAGATCAAAAGTTATAAGCGAAAAACTTTTGACCTGTTTTTAGCGAAATTTTTACATTTATACCCCCCAAAACCCCCCTAAATATTGACCTAGAGCAACCAAATTTGCACAGGGGCGAGAACTCCAGGGGGCCCACCTACCTACCAAATTTGGTGTTTCTAGGTGCCATAGGAGCCAATCGCGAGGGGGGGGTCGCATCGACCCCCCCCCCCTGCCAGGCCGTGTTATGAAAAATGCCCTGCCAGGGCGAGGGTTAAATCGCTCTCATCACCAGTAAAACGTTTTATGCCATTTCAAAAGCCGCTAATCGATTGTCGAGTTAACTCCCAAATAATACAATACCCTTTGTCTACTCCACTCAATGACATTTAGAGGTCACACACTAGTCACAAACAAACATGAAAACTTATGCAGTTCCGTGTTCAGGAATGAATTGAGGAATAATCCATCATTTGTCTTATGTCGTCGAGAGGCCTGTGACAGATGCCGGAACCAATTCTGTTATGGAATACCACCGGTTCTGGCGAATTCTGGGCTCAATGACAGCCGAGGTAACCGACTGAGTTGGTCCCGGCGGGTAGGGGTCCGGTCTGGGGCCTTGGGGTAGGTCAGTTAGTCCCGCTGGAGGGGGGGGGGCTGAACTGGAAACGGTTCTGGGCCGAGGAGTGACCAGGGCAGACCAGTGTCGCTCGCCAACTCCCAGGACTGGTTTCATTCAAGCGTACTCGCGTAAGCCAATCCCGTTTTATTCAACACAAGGAACTGGCAGTGTGATCCGGTGCCGTATTAGCGTGTCATGTAGAGAGGAGAGGAGCGTTAGCTGGCTAAACCGTTCGGTAAGTGTATGGCTGAGCTGAGGCGGTGCTGTCTTACCATAACGTTTCGCGGCTTGTGCGAGGGGAACTTTCACCGTATTATAGTGAAGAAGGTTTCACTTGTCGACTTCATAACGGTCTAAGAGTTGGCCGCTTAGTTTAATAATGTTTTTATTTCGAAAACAGACATTTGTCTGAAATGAGACGTCTATTGTTGCACCAGAATAAATACACTTGTAATAACTTCTGACGTTTTACAAAAAAAAAAAAAAACATAAGCGCACTCTGAATTGAAATTAAAACAACTATTGAGCATCTTATTTGCAACACATCTCAACGAATGTTGCCCTACACAAATGCTTCTCATTCGAGTATCGCTGTGATTTACACGCGTCGATCTCTGCTCACTGTCTCCAAACTCCTACTTTACACAAGACAGCCAGTCTATACCTATTTATGGCGTCTCAGCAGCTGCCATATATCGTCCACAGAGGCCGGCATGCTCATTACAAACGCAGCCTCCAGCGAATGGCGTCCGTCGGCGCCCGAACGGTGACAAGATGGCGGCCCGTGCGAGGACACTGGTCACCGGACGCCCCGCCCCTCCCCACGGCGCGGCCGGGGGGGGGGACGCCGAGAGCGCACGCACCCGCGGGAGCCGCTGACGTCACTCCTGGACACTGGCCATGACGTCAGCGGTCCTGACGGAGGAGGGAGGGGAGGGATCCGAGGGGAAATGCCTAGATGTCACAGATTTTTCACAGACTGTCACATGCTTTTCATCTCAACATTTATTTCATATCCCTCCTTTCATCCCTCCTCTCTCTTTATGTCTCTCTCTCTCTCTCTCTCTCTCTCTCTCTCTCTCTCTCTCTCTCTCTCTCTCTCTCTCTCTCTCTCTCTCTCTCTCTCTCTCTCTCTCTCTCTCTCTCTCTCTTTCTCTTTCTCTTCCTCTTCCATCTCTCTCCTGTTCCTGTCTCTTCCCTCTCTCTATCTCTCTCCCCACTCTCTCTCTCTTTCTCTTGCCTCTCTCCTCTTTCTATCTCACTGCTCCCCCTCTCTCTCCTCTTTCCTTCTCTCTCTTCCCCCTCTCTCTCTCTCTCTCTCTCTCTCTCTCTCTCTCTCTCTCTCTCTCTCTCTCTCTCTCTCTCTCTTTCTCCGTATTCCTTTGCTACAACAACGGACAACCCCCTGTGCTGGGAAAATGCTAAATTTATCCACTCCTTAACACGGCCGCGCAATGTGCATGTGTCAGCTAGTGTCGTAGGGCTCTGGGCATGGTAAGTGCACGATGCAAATATGTAGAAGCAAATGCAGAAGGGAACCTTTGGAAGCTGCTTATAATAATGCAAGTGTATGTTTATACCGCGACCTTTAGGCAAAGTGTTATTTAGATTTGAGGAGTAATATCACTATATAAATTAATAAAGTATCTACCAATATGCTACACATACCATGAATTATAAATGAATATGACGGTATCAGACTGGCTTTACATGCTCCAGCCGTACGGAAGCCGACAGGGCTGTGATTAATTTTTCCATGTCCGCGATGAATAACTATCTGTCCGTTTTTTACCGTTGTGAGTTGCACCAGCACTCCTAAGAATTAAAACGGGCCGAGAGGCTATCAACCCCATCAATGCGCATTATTGCCTAGAATGTATCCACCCTCGGCATTCCTTTGAGCGACTCAATTTGCATCTTTCAGAGCGTTACGTAAGGCTCCTGTCAAACGGTGGCTTTGTCTCTCGGTAGCACGCGGCCGCCGCCGGAATAGGCCCGGGCAGCGCTTGTCGAACAGCACTGCGGATCCGAAGGTTGGGACTTGAATTGTGAAAAACCGCCCGCCCGCCGCCAAACGCAAACACCGCAAAACGCGCAAAACGGACGCCAAAACGCCAACGCAAATGCCGCAAAAAAATCGCCCGCGAAAACCGCAAAAAAAACTCAAAAAACGCAGCAAAAAAAATCAAAACCGCCCGCATCGCACGCACCCCAAACGCC